GTTTTAAATCAATTTTTTACAATTACACTCATCTATTATAACTCATACTAATAATTCTTTATGGGTACATTTTCTTTGTTAACGTTTATCAGACTATTATTGTTTTTTTGTTTCAAGATAAAAACCTATCTGGGTTTAGTCAGTCTGTTATCACGTTATTCAAGAATGTTCCCTGATGAGCGAAAGCCGATATATACAGGAATTCGGCAATCGATTCTCCTCTTGATTAATGCGCTTTATAGTGATAATGGTTACTTACTGGGATTGGTATTGGGCCGTTTTGCGAATGAAGGAGATTGATTTGACAAATTAACTTCGTAAGGTGGTTGGTCACTTCAGGATTTAGTAGTATCGAATAACAAGATTATTAGTAATGTTTCGAGCAATTTGCTGATAACGCCCTTAATGGTCTAAACGTTAATCTACATGACGCTATTATTTGGCTCCGTTTTAACCTCAAACAACCCTTTAAGCTGGGTGAATGTTTTGATATGTATAGCAGGCCATAATTACATTGAGCGGAAATATTTAAATGTTTTTAATATACTTCGCTAAAAACGTATCGCATCACTTATACAATTACTAATATTTCTGACAGTATTTGGTTATTTTAAATTATTTCTTTCTGGTCCTTAAGAATATAAAGGCCAGAATAAATATTAAAAGGAAATTTGTAAATACAGCTTACTATTTAAGAAAAAAAAAATATTAATTGCTGTTTTATCTGGATTTTATATTATCAGTCTTTATTTTACTTTTGTAAAAAGTATACAGTTTGCACAATTCGCTAAGGATTTCTGCTTACTTGTAAAAGACATGTCGTGGAATGCAAATTTTAGATTTCCCATGTCTCTTTTAACATCTTTTATCAACGTCTGTTTGCCTTGCAATTCTTAGAAGGCTCAGAAATCTATAAAGCAGAAATCTGAATTGTGTTTCGAAACTATTTTACGATTGTTTAATTAGATGTCGCTACTGCGTCCGTATTGAAGCCATGTTATTGTTGCTTCTTAAAAGGCAGAAAATATTGATTTTTCACGTTGAGAAGCCCTATGAATAGCTCTTCTGATGAGACCTATTAGGTCGAAATACGTATCAAGAGATACATAGGATTTGTTTGCGTGAAATCAAATATTTGCTGCCTTTTCTCATTTTATACAGTTTGCGTTTAATTTAAAATTTCGTATTAAATATTAAGTATGGAAGATCGTGACAATATATATTTAACGAGATATCAAGTGGTTAGAATAATTTCCTTCATTGAAGACGGAAGGAGTCAGAGATATGTGGCAAATTTAGTGGGTGTAAATCAGTTGATAGTATCATGAGTGATAGTAAGGTACCGAGAAACTGGTCTTTATGAAAAACGAGCTGTTACAGGTCGGCGAAGAACAACTACCCATGTGGATAATAGATTTTTAGGTCTTCAGGCTTTGTGTCAAAGACATGTGACTGCAAGTCAACTTCAACATGACTCGAAATGTACGTGTGTCTTCAGAAACTGTTAGGCACATCTTAAGACAGTCTAGAATTAGGACCAGTAGCTGCCACTGCCTTAAGACTTACAAGGGAACACCGTATAGCACGTCTAACATTTGCAATTGAGCACGTAAACTGGAATATCGACAACTAGGGTAACACACTCTTTACGGATGAGTCAAGATTTTGTTTATACGCTGCGGATCAAAGAATACCAGTTTACAGACGACAAACTTTGGAAGAGGATCTCTTATGCTCTGGGGCAGAATATCTCTTAGGGGCTCAACCTAATTGGTACAGCTAGATTTAGGATTCTTAACTGCTGATAGGTACGTTAGAGAAATTTTGAAGATGCATGTTGTTCCTTACGCCCCTTTTATTGGTAATGACTTTGTTTTAATGCATGACAATGCACGCCCACACGTGACCCACAAGAATCGTTACCAAGTACCTTCAACAAGTAAATTTACAAGTTTTTAATTGGTCAGCGTACAGCCGACTATCGTTTGGCTATAAGAGCTAAAGGAGACAATACGTCTCACTAATTTATCATTACTTTTGATTTTTATTTTTGTTTATTCAATGTTGTTTGTGCGCTTAGTTCCAATTTATAAAATAAATTAAATAAAACCTTTGTTTTTCGTACATTCTGCATTTTTCTTTTAACACTTGTTACGTACTTAAAATGACCTACCACTATCATCTAAACAGAATCTCACGAGGAAAATACAAAATGTTGGCTCAGAGGTAATACCAGAAATAACTGAAGATAAAATCGAAAAATCCATAAACGACATGAAAAGAAATAAAGCGGCCGGTGAGGATAAAATACTGGCGGAACTGCTAAAAGAAGGAGGAGACACGATAAAAAAAATGCTAAAAATACTGTTCAACAAATGTCTGTTTGAAGGTAAAATACCCAAACAATGGAGAAATGCCAACACAATCTTAATACATAAGAAAGGAGACCGAACAGACCTAAACAACTACCGTCCTATTTCCCTTTTGTCACAACTATATAAAACCTTCACAAGAATAATAAACAACCGACTAACCTATAAACTTGATAACTACCAACCAGTGGAACAGGCCGGATTCAGAAAAGGATACAGCACAATCGACCATCTACATACGCTTAAAATCTTAATTGAGAAAACCAATGAATACAACCTTCCGCTGTACTTAGCATTCGTAGATTATGAAAAGGCTTTCGACAGCATTGAACACTGGGCGGTTGAAGAAGCTCTGGTCAATAGTAGAATAGATTCAAGATACCAACAATTGATACATGATATTTACCAAAACGCAACCATGACCGTAATTCTGGACGACAAATTAATAACGAATAATATAAAAGTTAAACGAGGAGTCCGACAAGGCGATATAATTTCACCTAAACTGTTTACCTTGACCCTCGAAGACAAAATAAAATCAACAGATTGGGAAAACAGAGGAATATGTATTAACGGAAAATACCTAAATCACCTTAGATATGCGGATGATATACTCCTGATCTCCTCGGAACGACAAGAACTGGAATTAATGCTGAATGAACTTCATGAAAAATCACTGCAAAAAGGCCTAAAAATTAACTTCAACAAAACAAAAGTAATGACAAACACGGAAGACCAAGAGGCAATAAAAATAAAAACAGAAAAAATAGAACAGGTAAATGAGTATATCTATCTAGGACAAGCAATCAGAGCTAATAGAGAAAATCAAACAGCCGAAATATCGAGACGAGTAAGAATGGGATGGGCAGCGTTCGGCAAACTTTCTTACGTTCTAAAAAATCAAACAATCCCTCTATACTTACGAAGCAAGGTATATAACTCCTGTATCATACCGGTGCTCACCTACGGAGCACAGACATGGACATTTACACAGGCCAATTTGGATAGGATAAGGAAGGCACAAAGAGCGATGGAAAGACAAATGTTGGGTGTATCACTTAGAGATAGAAAACGTAACCAGTGGATCAGAACCAGAACAAAGACAGTAGACGCGATAGAACAAGCAGCAAAACTAAAATGGAAATGGGCTGGACACAATGAACGTGTCCAAGACGGACGATGGAACAATGCCATCGGAAAGTGGCGTCCATAAAATGCAAAGAGATCCAGAGGCAGACCACAGATGAGGTGGAAAGATGACATCAGGAAACAAGGAGGTCCCACATGGCAGAGAACAGCTCAAGATAGGGAAAGATGGAGAGAACTGGGGGAGACCTATATCTAACAATGGAAGGATAGAGAATAGGTTCAAAAAAAAACGTACTTAAAAAGCAAAAAAAAAACAACAGTAAAAGATCCATATTTTAAATTATTTTTACAAAATTTGCAGTTTCATAAGTGATGCAATACTTTTTTTGGCATAGTGTATTTATCGTTACACTCATATCTTATCAATCAAAAGAAAACAGATTTAAGAAAGAGAAAGACAATACTGGTAAACATAGGTAACATAAGCAACAGAGAGGAAGAAAAAAGAGACGGGAAAGGGTAGCTGCGTGTCCGAGAAACTGGTCTGGAAGGACGTGCCACTCCCGTAAGTCGAGAGTGGTTTTAGTTGGTAGGCAGAACTCTGTGGATGCATCCGGAGGCAAGATCCGCCAAAAGAGAAATTGAGTTCTGATGTAGTCCACCTACCTGAATCCAACTCACACCAGGTACGGTTCACTTGGTACGGTCTTAAGATTTCTTTTCACCCCAAAAACTGCGGAACATTGTTAACTCACTAAATTGTACAAATATTTAATATTTAAATGAACTTTGAAAAATTAAAGGCAGATATCGAGCACAATTATATTAATCAAATCTTGCCCCAAGTACTTTTGCTTTCTACAGCATCATCAGGGGCATCTGAAATAAGCCAAGAAACGTTTTTTTTAATCAAGAAAATTGATTAACTTCGATAAAAAACTCGAAGTTAATGGATGATAAAAGTTTTTTGTAATTAACGTTTTAAACTTACTTGCGCTTGCTGGAGCTTGAGCTTGCTTACTCAAATTTGGGCTATCCAGCAAGCGCAAGTAAGTCTTAAACGTTAATCACAAAAAACTTTTATCATCCATTAACTTCGAGTTTTTTATCGAAGTTAATCAATTCATTTAAAAAAACATTTCTTGGCTTGTTTTAGATGCTCCTGATGATGCTGTAGAAAGCGAAAGTACTTGGGCAAGATTTGATTAATAAAATTGTGCTCGATATCTGCCTTTAATTTTTCAAAGTTCATTTATTCGAGCATTCAACCTTATATCAATTTAAATATTGAAATATTTTATTTGTATATTGTTACTTCTCCTCCTATAAAGATCTTGAATGACTGATATGGATAATTAAAGAAAAAATATACTTTAAGAATAGGTTTGACTGTTTTTTTTTAATAGCGTTTGTCCGCATCTGTAACAATGAACAGAGACATGTAAAACACTCTTAAAGAAAAAATATTGACAAGCTATACCAGAAAAACAGAAAATATTATCATATTTATGTAAGTAGTTTTTATTTTTGGCTGCTTACCTCCATGACTGTTTTGTTCTCGATGCTTATACTGTTGGAACCATTGGCCCATCGCACTGTTGCTGCTGGTCGTGCACTAAATACTTTGCAGTCCAACTTTACGTTGGTCCCTTGGACGACGTGATTTTCGACGCCTGTCAAGTTTATGCCGATTGGTCGAACTGAAACAAAGCATAATTTAAAGTAGTTTTCATTTCATTTTTAAGAATATGTTATAGAAGATATCAATTAACAAAAAATCTAAAAGTATAGTGAAAAGTGTTTTCTTGTTTTTAAGAATATCATCCAGCACTTTGTCTAGGTGTTTCCCAATAGGAAAACACTCAGAAAATATTTGTGTGATTTGCAGAATAGTTCTTTTGCCGCCGCCGTAAGTAATAAATTTAAATTTATCAGATTATTTAAATATTTAAGTAGAGTATGGGCCGCTTGGGCGAGACAGTGTAACGTCACTGTCGGTAAGCATTGGATCTACATTACCGACCATTTTTTCTTTGTATGATTTTCGTATCGCAATCCCCCATTCAGTTTTGTAAAATTTTCTTTTGTTTTCATGCGGTTCGGTTATTTTGAGGTTGAGAAAGTATTTCCTGTTTTTATAGTACTTTGAGGACATTTATAGATGCTCAGTATTGCTTTTGGATATGTTTTACTAAGGTCCGTTTTCGTCAAGACACTAAATAAGAATTTTAAAGGAACTGTATCATTCTATAAATATCAGATGTGTAGGGAGGTTTCGAGCTGTTCGTTTTTCAATTACTTGTTGAAGGGTAAATGTGTTGTCCACGCACGATCTTCCTGCTCTGAAGTAGGGATGGCGGTTTTTGACAAAACACCGGTTTTCAGTTATACCGGTTTTTTTTGCTAACGGTTTAACCTGGCAGTTATAACCGGCCAAAAAAAAAACCGGTTTTCCCAAAAACCGGTTTTCGGTTTTTTTAATCAAATAGATTAAAAAGTTACATTTACAATGCACTTTAGTTTGCGATACTACATTCGCAACACAATTTTTTGTGTTTTGTGAGAAAAAAATTCCCGAGACTCTTTCAAATGAGATTTAACGAAAATAATATCAACATAAATATTTTACTTAAAAATAAATTGGATAATGCAATTCATCTTTTATTTTTACTACCATCAAAAAAAATTTATCATGTATTACTTTTAACTCATTTACGACCTCCGGTATGGGTATAAATCGTTTTAAAAACGTAGGGAAATCCTTGTAGATTCGTATTCGTAATCGGTAATTCGATATTCATACTCATTATTTTTGGTAATCAGAAAAAGCCATTCACCCACTTTCAATGTCAAGAGTCAAATAACCATAATAAATACCAGATCACTTCTTATGTAAAAATATTATGATTACAAATACTTTTTCAACGAAATACTATTAAAAATAAAATTTAATTGTTTCTGGCTAATGTGAGCTTTTGCTTCTGTATTAAATAAAATAAAAATTGAATTTAAGTTTTGTTTGGAATAATTACTTGAGAATAATAATTATGATTGGGTGAGATCCAAAATAATACCTAACATAATCCTAATCACTGTAAAAACCTAATAACCGGTTTTTTCTTTAAAAATAAAAAACCGGTTATAACCGGGACAAAAAACAACCGATAAAACCGGTTATTTTGAAGTAAAAAACCGGTTTTCGGTTAAAACCGGTAGGTTTTTCCCATCCCTACTCTGAAGCCGCTTTGTTCTTCAATTTCTTTGTACTCCTCTTCTATTCTTCTTTTCAATATACGACCATATAACCTTCCCAGCGAGCTAGTTACGCTAATGCCTCTATAATTTCCGCACTTTTTTCTGCCTCTGTTTTTATAAATGGGGCTAATGTGGGCCAAATTCCAATCATCTGGAATCGTTTGGCCTTCAATTAAGCATTTCTTAAAAATATTCACATATCTTATGTACCTCTCAGTTTTCTGTCATTGAGATATGGTCAGGTCTTTCCATAAATTCGTGCCTACTTTCTGTTAATAGCGTTTCGTAATATTTTTCCCACTTTATATTTTGAATCAGGTTTATATTTCCCTAATCTTTTCTTTCTTTTCTAATACTTTTTATGAATTTCCAAGCTTGTGTCACTTTGGTTCCTCCTAAGCATCGGTCCATCTCTTCGCATTTCTCTTCCCACATTTCGTTTTTTGTTTTAGCGACTTTCTTCTTTGCTTCCCTGTTGAGTCTGCTGTAAATTCTATGGTCTTCTGAGTCTTTCGTGGATAGCCATATTTAATAAGCTTTTTTTGTCTTTAATTAATTTTCCTACTTCATTGTTCCACCACTCAGGATTTTTCTTTTGTCAGTTTCTTTGTATCCCAATGCCTCTTTGGCCGTCTGATGAATGCAATTTTTTATATCATGATATTCTTTTTCGGCTGTTTCTCTTCGAGTTAAGTGAGTTAGTTTTGAGGCTAGTCTAAGTTTGTAGAGGAATTGTACTGATTCTTGTTTTAGGCTATCAATATTCTATCTTTTCTTTGTGGAAGCTGCTACCTTCTCCTGTTCAATTTTGTTCTTGTTTGCTTTCCTGTAGTGTATGGTTATTTTTGCGACCACCATATAGTGGTCAGATCCGCATTCGGCACCCCGATACACCATTACGTCATTTGATTTGAGCCTTTTGTTTTCTGGTTGAATGAGACAGTCGATTATAGATTTTATCTTTTTCTTTGGTTGTTCCCAGGTAAATTTATGTATATCTTTTAAGCTGTAATGTTTCACAAAGATCAATGAGCCGCTCTCCGTTGTTGTTTATTTTGTCTTCACCATATCTTCCTACCACATTGTCTTGTAATTTTTTGCCTACCCGAGCATTGAAATCTCCTAATAGGCATAATTCTTTGGATTGGAATAGAATTCATCCTTAATTCTTTGTCATAGAATTCATTCTTAACTTTTGTATCAGAATCTTCACTAGGAGCATATACTCCTATTCCAACTATCGCCTCCCCATGTTTCTTAAGATCCATCATAATGATCTGCTCGTCTATCTCTTTCCAACTCCTGATATTGTTTTTGTGTTTTGTATGCACGGCTATAGACACACCTCTTTTTGCTCTTAATGATTTTTCAACTCCACTGTATAAATGAATATAGTCGTTCTTGATTTCATTTCCCTTTCCTTTTTTGTTTCTGTAAGAACGCATATGTCTATTTGTTGTCGTTCTAATTCTTGAAAAACTTTAGTTTTCTTGGTTCTCAGACCTTGTACATTCCATGTGGCCAATCTCATGTCCTTTTTCGTAGCAGTCGTCGTCTTTTGTTTTCGTCCTTATTCCGAGGCTCTTGATTGAAATTTTTAGCAAATAACTTTTTTCTAGAAGAAGGGGTGCTGACCCATCGTTCAAATCCCCAGACTTGGTGGACCAGGATTTGTGAAGAATATGTAGTAGGAGTAAATGTAGTGACCAGTCTGCCCTCGGAAACCTAATAGCCATTCGGGGTCGGAAAAAAACAAGAGTTAGCCAAGAGAGGCTGTTTGAAAGATTAAAGACATTTTACTCAAGACAAGTTAAAAGTAAAATGTGAAAGCCCTTATAATCCGCCAGGTGCGTTTCATAAGCATATGAGTATTGATACAATTTGTGTTCCCGCTCACACCTCGGGATGTTGACTACAGATTGTATGGCTCGTCAGCATGCCATAGAATGGAGAATAGGGTACACGTCATTTATACAATGTAGATATCCCAGCTCTATGGCCTGCCTCTAATTTTGGTAAAATAGTGTATCATTTTTCCACACTATATATTGATAGTATATCACCTATCACAGATGCATTTTTCTATGTTTTTAAGTTATACAAATGTATATCAAGTAAGTTTATTATAATGAATTATTACCAAACTATTCCAAATGCTAAATGATGCTTATTTAGCGTCGATCCATTTAACTCATTTCGAAATTTCACGGAATTGTAAATGACGTATGAAATATCATCGATTAATGTAAGCCATACGTTTGTTTGCTTTGTATATTAGATCAGAACGATGTTTACTCTATGCATAGAAATAATTACCCGAACTTCAAAACTGAGAAAACACGATCCAATATAAGCGTGCACGCTTTATTTAATCTATCTGGTGCCTAGCAAAACTAATAAAAGCAACACGGAAATGTGATTCGCACTCAGAAATCGATCAGAGTTAAGAGTTCATCGATTGTACATGTGTCGGAGTTCCCACGCAGCCAATAAGACCTACGGGATGGATCCAATTTCGGAGCTTTTTGAGATTGCTAAATATTAGCTAACACAAAAAACTCTTTTAGATAATGGTTTATAAGAAGACAGTTGTAAAATATTCTTTTCATTTGTATAATAATATAAAGTTTTTAAAATAAGAATCTGTATCGACCCGAATGAATGTATACTTTTTTATATAATAATAATTAATTCTCTTTTAATTCGTACCGATTTCACGCCTGACGTAATCAGAATAAGTTTTTTCACCGCGAGAGAATTTTTTAGGTTAAATTTTTTAACGCAACAAATTTAATAACGAAAATCATCTGTTATGATCATCTATCGACTATCTGTCATTGTCCACGGTTCCTAAATTTACTACGGTTGCCTCTTCCGCCTAACCAATGAACATTAAGCCGATTGTACTCCTGTGACGTAAATGGGTTTTGTATTCTTGTGTACTCCTGTGACGTAACTCAAGCATCCCCACCCCAGTCGGAAGAGGCAACCGTAGTAAGTCTACGAACCGTGGTCATTGTCTAAGAAATAAATAAGAATATCCATTTTGTTTCCACTTGAAAATGTCACTTTGAAAAAACTCAATCACGGCTCTCTAAAGTTTTGCTGTTGCTGTGGTTTCGTCTGAATATTTTAAACATTTGAAATTTATTTGTGCGTAGAATCTGGCTTCACACAATATTTTTTGGCAAGTTTCCATTAAATATTTTCTTTTTTTTTTAGGTTTAGTAATGGCTGTCCATGGACAAAAGACGTTTCTCTATATATAATAACGGATTGATTACGGCTGTCGCCAATTCTCCGCCCCCAATTTCCATCTTTTTTTGTCATATACAGTTGCCTCTTCTAAGTCTCTTGTCGCCATTGCTTCATCAATATCGTTGCGCCAACTTCTCCGTGGTCGTCCCCTCTTTTTTCTTTCAGGAGGGATCCATTTTTTTAAGTT